GTGTGTGAAGCACCGCTACCTTTCCGCAGAGACAATCCTTTGCGGAGCCGCGGACGAACGACACGCCGAGACGGGTTCAGTGTGGGTGATAGAGCATCAATCACCGTGTGTGTTTATTGGCCCAGGGTACATATATTTATACAGACAATGATAATTATTATGCCCACTAGTCACTAGCTGATTGGCTTAAGCTCTAAAGGTCGTATTCGCACGGTCCACCTACTTGCAGTTAGCTTACAGCACAAGCTTCTCATCACACTAAGTTTCTCATGCTACTATTTCTGATTCCTGTTGACTTGTTTTCAATACACGACGGTACCGTAACACAATGTTTCTCAGACCACCCTTACCATAACACTGGGTTTCTCAGACCACTATTCCTAATTCCCCTTAACCTGTTTTCGACACCCCACGGTACACAGGGCTGGAGCATCCTTGCCATTCCTCCTGTATCAGCAGCTGCGAGCAGCTGCAGGCAAACCCCAGTGAGGCCCAGCATCAGCAGCCAGAGCAGGCTCTGGTCATACAGCTGCTCGGGGGGCTCAGGACCCTTGTCTCTGAGCCATTCTCCAACAATCCTTTGCTGATGTCATTTGGCACGACTTCTGCAGCAAGATGCGACAGCGTAAAACGGGCAGAGCCTTGGGTTAATGGGTACGCCTTGGGTCATATATGCATGTCTTCAGCAGGTGTGCCCGGCTTTACACCACGCGAGGCGTTCCTAAGTATTCGAAGAGCGCGGCCAGCAGGCCCCCTGCGCTCACACGGGGAGCAGAAGGAGCGAGATTCCCGGGTGGTTTCACATCCAGGAGAAGGAGGAGCGAGGCCAGCACAGACCCTGTGGGGCTGGGGAGGAGGGCCGGGGGTCAGCCTGGGGGAAGGGGGGCTGAGAGGAGGCAAACACGTTGCACAAGAGGGGAGAGAACCACGTCGCCCGGCTGGGCCGGGAGCAGGTTACCCCCCCCCCTCCTCTCCCAGAGTGACAGCAGTAGCTGTTTGCTGGGATCCAGGGTTCCTTCTCGCGGCATCCTTTCCCCAGTCCCGTTTACCTCTGCTCAGCAAACCCCTCAGGAAGCAAGACAAATGCACCGGCCACACTTTAAAGCGCAGCAGAATTGCGGGAGGTGCGGAGCTGAGGGGTGCGGAGAGCCAGGCTCAATTCACACGCAGTTTCCCCCCCCCCCCCCCCCGGCGGTGAAACACCCGGCTTCACGCAATGGGATGGGGGGATTTGCTTCCCCCAGGGGCCGAGGAAGAGCGGGTGGGATGGGCTGAGTAAGGAGACCTCCCCAGTCCAGCACCAGGGCTCAAAGCCACACCAGGCAGGGGCTGCTCAGCAGGTTTCACCTGGCCTGGCAGCAGGGATCTGGGAGAAAATGAATTTTAACCGTTCATTGAGTCAATGGATACGTGCTTTCTAAATTACAGTGCTCGAGCTAATTAGAAATGTGGAGCAGGGGCACGTTTCTCTGCTGGTGCTCCTCTGGTCTAGTTAGGAAGTGAGGCATGGTGCCCCCAAAGGCTCCTCATTCCTCTGGAGAGCACGAGGACGGCTGCCTTCTGCATGGCAATACCAAAAATGTGCCCAGCCTGGCGACTCTGAAATTACCTCCCAGGTAATTACCTCCAGCTTCGAAATTACCTCCCAGGCCCATGTGGGCACGGAGGCTGCTGACACAACTGGAGGGGAACGGCGGAGGTTTTAGCAAAGGCTGATGCTGAAATACGCATTGTCGGGCTTTGCAAAGCTTTGAGATCCACTGGGGGTAACTTTTGAGAATGAGATACACACTGGTGGGAAAAGTCCATGTGAATAAGAGGAATAGGCCACAGCCCTGTGTAACCATCTGGGTTTCCAGCAGAGCCTCACGCTGCTCCCATTTTTTGTCGAAAGTCAGAACTCCTGAAATCACCCGCCTATCTGGAAATTACGCTTCTAAACTAAAAAAAGTGAGTAAAAGGATTAGCTGATGATTTTGAAGATAACCTGGTGATTTACGCTGCTGAGTACAGGATCTTTGAAAGTTCGAATGTGGCAGTCCTTGAAATCTGTGAATCCGCCGTGATGCGTCTCCTACAAAATGATGCACAAAGTGGGAGTATCCCCCAAACTGGTGGCCTGTCTGAGCTCATTCTGCTGCAGTCTGGGAGACAGATCCTGCTTTCCCAATGTTTGCTGATGGTTACAGTGCAATAGTATCCCAATGACTTCGCGAGTTAGTTATTAATTAGTAAAAACTCTGCATAAGTTGAAATTTAGCACTGAGGAATCAGTGGTTTGGAAGTACGCCTGGCTGACAGTTCTGGTGAGGAACATATATTTATAGGTTAGTAGTATAACAGTATATATATATATAATAGTAGTATAACCCACAGTGTGGGTATATTATAGGATATACCCACACTGTACTGTCCCACTGTTATGCTATACAGGCAGACTAATAATTCAGAAATAACAGGCAGTCCAGTATCTAAACCCCAACATGTTCTTGGTTACTTTTCTGCATCTACCCTTAATTTCATCTCCTGTATTGCAAGCTTTTCATGTGTGGCCCAAGGACATAATAAAGTGATTTCATATGACCAGCCTTTCATTAGCAGGGAAAGGGTTTCATTAGCTATGGATCTCTGCTGGACTTTAAGAGAGGTTTCTGATCAGTATCCAGCCTTCCATAACAGAGACTCAGCCTCCTGGGTCCTCATGTAATTAAGGCAGCTTAACACTTTGCCATTATAAGAAATTCTGTTCTGTTACTTAAAAATTCATTGAGTTTTAAATGCTGAGGCAAAATTCCTTAGGTGTTACGAAGGCTGCTTTTATGATTTTTTTTTTTTTTTTACCCTAATTTGATTTGCTACTTTCAAGAAGGGAAAAAAAGGAAGGACAAGTGTGCTGCCCTGGCATGTTAAAAAACCTCTGGTGTCCTCTTCAAAAGCTGACCTTCTGTAAATATTATGATGAATTTTTTTTCCCAGTGGTGTCATCTTTCAGCCCTTTGAACCAAGCTGACTAGTGATCACTAGCTGTGTGTTCCTGGTTTTCAGAGGGTCTTAATTCCTTCTTTTCAAAGTCCTTGATCTGTTTATTCAAAAATAGTGATCATTCACTACTGCAGCTGAACATACCTATCCTGGAGAGAGAAAGAGCATCCTGTGAAATCCTTAAGGGAAAGATGAAGGTAATTAGGCACATGTGCTAGGTATCTAAATATGTTTGAATTGTTGACCTTACATGCACTGACAGATTCCAGGTCCTAAGCACTCCAGCGGTGTGCCCTAAATTAGTGGACACTCGTGAACCCTGCTTCGTTTTGCTTCAGCTCCTTTGAAGAAGCTTTTTTGGTGTGTGCCAAAATTTGTTTCACAGTGAGCAATTCTCTTTAAGAAGTCAGACTTTTTGTTTCTCCTATTATTCATTTTCTCTCCTTTTTTTTTTTTTTTTTTTTTTTCTTTTTTACCAGGAAATATGAAAGTTAAAGAGAGACGAGAACGAGAACAGTTTCTGAACTACCTTCAAAAAATCTGAATTTCTGCCAGGCTGCTCTCACTTTCAGCAAACTCCTTTTTTTTTTTTACCAGCCCCCCCCCCCCCCCCCTTCAAAAGTGTAGCTCAAAACATTTTAAATCACGATTCCTCATGTCCCTGGCACTGCACTGTGGTCCCAAATGAGGCAGTGACACGCTGCTGGTTTTCCTGCCTGCGCCCTGCGTGCGGCACAGATGGGCACTGCCGGAGCTCAGCTGCTGTGGGACGGGTTAAGTAGGTTCTTATCCTCTGCTCAAAGCAGCTTCTCTGAGGGGAGGCAACGTACACACCAAGCCTGCCAGTCCGTTACACAAGAACTCGTGAGGCATCTGTGGATTACTGGCGTGAGAAACCTCCGTTTACGTAACGGTACCCAGCTTCCAGGCAGCATTTCTCATCAGGAGGTATTAAAGTGCTCTACACCAAAAAAAAAAAAAAAAAAAAAAAAAAAAAAAAAAAAGAGGTCAGCGTTTTCATCCTCAATTTACATATTCTGTGTCTGGCTTTGAGGAAAGAGCATTTTCTTATGGTCAGAGCAGTGGTAAAAGACAAGAGAGCTTGTGCAAAGATTTAAAACACTTGAGCAACGTGCCTGAGTGAACGAGGCTTACCTATTTAGTACTTAAGGCCCGTGTCTGAATCTGAAATGGGGCTGAATTACATTTGTGTAACCTTCCGGTCATAAAATTAAATACTACTAATCACCTGTCCATCTCTGATGTCTTATATTTTGGGCTGCAAAAGTAGAAGTCCCTATAACTCGTTTTCCTTAACATTTTTCATGCTAAGATCTTGTCTTTAGTTGCATGTGGATTGTGTGTGTGTGCACAATTTTGCAGGTAGGGAATTTCAAAGCTGTCTCAAGCTGATCTTTAAAAACCTTTTAGAAAAAATGCTTCAGAAAAAAAAAAAAAAAAGTCAGCACAAATTGAAATTTGGGGAAAACAGGCATATGGTGGGGGAGTTTCAGCCTCACCCTGTCACTGGACTCGGGCTTTAAAGTTGCCACTGTTATTTCAGTGTCTGCAAACCTCTTATGTCCCATCCCTGCAAGCCCTCGGCTATAGTTCTGTCCCTGTAAAATGAAATAACAGCACTTTTCTTTTTGCAGTTTTTCCCATGTTTTCTCTTTTTGGCCTGCAAGGTCTTGAGACCAGAGTCTCTGACTTAAGCATACTGTCTGGCTTGTCTGGACCACAGTGTCATTCCAGAAACTTGCTGTAGCTTCACTACAAGACCTTTATATTAATATAATATTATTGTGGGCTCTTTGATCAACATTTCACAACATAATGAAAGAAAAATACGTTTAGGAAAAGGAGTGTATCTTGTAGGAATGATCATTTGTTTGACCTTAATCTGTCATTGGCAAAGCTTCCAGGCTGCACTGCATTAGCAGATGGATAATCGGCTCCAGCTGAAATTACTTGCACAGTTAAGTAGTTTATTTTCTCATTTTCCTACAGTGGGAGTCTCTAAGAACAGGTCTGGCGTGTAAGTGCTCACATACGTTCCTGTATAAATGTGTTGGGCTCATCGTTTAGACTGCTTGAACGAGAAGCTGAGATGTTACCGTCTCTTCTCATGTTTTGTGCAAGGAACAAAAGCTGGAGCCAGGTCACTGTTTCCTTTTTTTTTGGGGGGGAAAGCTGGCACAAAAGTGCAGCTCCTCATTTGGGACCCATTCTGAAGGGCGTGGGGAGGGAGGTTTTTCACAGACTTCAGTAGATTTTTGAATCATCTTCAGGGCTTTTTTCTTGGAATAACTTGCAAAACTTCTCTATATTGAGCTTTTCAGTGACGTCTTTGTGCCGTGTAGAGAGAAAGTAATTAAAAGAGAAAACTGACCATAGCAGGAAACAAAATTAGGAAACCACAAGATTCAGAGGAAATAGGATTCAGGCGATAAAACCAGAGAAAACAATAGAATGAACACACATTTTGCATGCATACAATCTTATTGTCTATAACATTTGTTAACAGGTTAAAGAAAGCTCTTACAAAGGTTTTTATAAAAGTGAAGCAACATGAAGAACAAAAATTATCACAAAAATGACACAGTTTCTGATGACTTGGACATCTCCAGAAAGCAATTCCTAGCACCACAACTGGATCAGATTTTCATAGTTTTTGTCAAGATGACTACGCCCCTAAGTGATTCAAATATTGTTAGAGCAGAATTAAGTGATGTGCAATTCCTGTCAGTGTCCCGAAAATAGTCTCTCATTTGAATACGAAGATGTAGAGGGCTACTGATTGTAAGTGAAAACAACTTAAGCAAATCGTACGCAAACTAAGAGGTGCATTCAAGAGTTTTGTTAGGGAATAATGCATTTATTTAATCAGGAATGACAGAAAGAAATTTGCATCTGATGAATAATAATATAGATGCTCAATAATGTAGTTAGAGCAATGTTATCTTTTTGGTACGTAGAAAATTGTCATTTGAAGCTGGTTTCTCTCCTTGGAATGTAAACCTGACGTAACTGTTACCTGTGACATAAGGTAATTTTAATGAAACATAATTGGAAGAAATTGAAAGGCAGGTTGGATTTGGAACTCCCATCTCAATTATATTAATTCTGCTTATATTAGCCACAGACAAAAGAAATTCATTTAACTATGCTTTATTCCTAACAGAAACATAGGTAAATGACATTCAAAGAAAACTGAAAAAGAAGAGCAGTTCCTCTGCTTAAAGTTGTAGGAGCCAAATAAAAAAGGGATTATTTTTTTTTTTTTTTTTGAAAATAAGGAAAAGCTGTAGCAAGTAGTGAATTAGTCATCGATTTTGCAAGAATTTTCAGTCATTCCAGATTCTGTGATGTAAAGAAAAATGGTTCAGGAGCAGACAAGATGAAGCCAACACTGTTGAGGCAAATATGGGCTGGTGGAGCTAGTCTTCCAAATTATTGTCATTTGTGTATGAATTGCTGTATTCTGTGCCTTGTTAATATTTAGATGTTATAAAGTTCTTTGGAGAAACTCTGCTCCTTGGCAAGGCTGCTGTAAATGGAGTTTGCTTACTCTGTTGCCCCTCCATTGTACCCAGTCTTGATGCACTGCACCTTGGTGGTGCCCTGAGATTCCTACAAGAAGCGGTTGCCCTTAAAGCTGTTTGACCATCCTCATTTCAGGTCCATTTTATAAGTGAGAATAAAATAATTTACCTTTGGGGAGTATCCAAGCAGGGAACTGTTCTCTCTTCTCCCCTTAAAAGATGATCATCCCGTATCAGTTAGTATCATAAGAGGATGCTCGTGTCAGAAGAGCAGACAGCTCTAGTGCCTGATAGGGGAAAACCTTCCGAGAACTGGAGCAGTGAGTTTCAGTTTGGAGAAGTGTTGTGAAGTTTTGGGGTTTTGTGCATGATCTGGTGGTTCTAGTATGGGGCTAAGCCATGCACCATTTCTTTCCCGAACTCTTGGGTTTGGTTGGTTGGTTGTTTTGGTGGGGGTGGTGGTTTTTTTGTTTGTTTGTGGGTTTTTTTGCTTTTTGTTTGTTTGTTTGTTTTTTTTTAAAAGAAACGGGTGGGGAGGTTGGATGGGGGTTTAGAGCTGTTCCACCAAATCCCTTGCGTGGTTAACTGTGGGAACGGTCTGGTCAGACATCTAGTGGTCAGTTTAGAGGCAGGTAAAGAAATCTGGGAAGAACTGAATCGTCTGGACGTAGAGCAGAAAGAAGAAAGCCATGACACAAAGATACAAAGAAATACAATGGATATTGAGTTAAAAAAGGGATTGGAGCAGGAGCCACAGGTATTTCAGAAAGAAAGAGAAAGCTTTGACCAGTTTGGCACCCCTAAAAGAGTTGCTACCCCTCGTGTGGCAAAGCCTTGCAAGCATAGGAGCCTGCAGACTCGCTTGCCCACAACTGGGAGGTGCAGAGCTGAATCAGGCAGGCAGCTCGGTGCTGTGCATTGAGCTAGTTAAACCTGCTGAACCGGGACTGGGAGCCAGGGCTCCAGCAGGGATTTAAAGACCTGGGAATTTTCTTTGAGGTTCAGTCTTCTCTAATTGCAACCACACGTGTTTTAGTGAGGGTGGGGCATTCTGCAGCACTTCTGCTGCCGCACACACAAATCAGCCCCAAGAACAGCTGTGAGAAATCTTTCCAGGTTGCTTTGCAGCTATATATGGTTGATAAGATCATCAGAGCAGAAGCACATGGGGTAGTTTTTATTTAACTTTAAGGAAGAAAACACCATAGGGTGTGTCTACATTAATGACGGTGATTGAGAGATGGGACCCCGGATGGGTGTAAGGAAGAGGTTGAGAGTTTGGAGTTGAAGTCAAAGTTGAAGTCGTGGCCAAAGTCATTGCCGAAGTCGTTTATTGTCAACAGTTCTTCTACAATTATACAGTCTCTAGCAATACTTGTCAACATTTGATTGGTCACTGCCCCCTGTCCATAATACACCAAGCAACTCCTTGGCTACAAGTGAGTTACTGCTATCCTAAGCCTGTTGGTTAGTTAAATCGTACAAAACACAATGTCCTATACACTTGTAGCTCAAGGCAGAAAACTTTCCATTAATTAAGAAAAGGCCAGATGTTTTCCTTTGACTGTCACCTTGCATGTTTTCTTCAGGCAAAGCTCAGCATCCTTATCTTGTTTTTCTACATTCCTGTTTGCTGCTCCCAGGGCTTGTGGCCGACCAAGGCCAAGATGTCCTCATCATTCCCCAGCTGCACAGCACTCCCGGTTCTCCTTCCCAGCCCTCCTGCTACACATGAAAAGATTTTACACTCTGACAGGAGCAGGCCAGTGACCCAAATGGTGGTGAGCTCCCTCCATCCGTGTTGCATGAAGTTGAGGATTTTTACATGAGGTGACGTGTAGTTGGATGCAACACAGGGCCCACAGCACACCTGTATCCTCCTGAGACAGGAGCGGGGAAGGAGGTGGGGTGCTACGCCGTGTCCCCACGGGCACAGGGCTCCTATATCTACATGTGAGATAGTTACGTGGGCTCCAGCTACAGCCTGGAGTCTTGCAAGGACAGTCAGTGGGGACCAGGCGTGACCCTGCTCTCCACTGACAGCATCGGGTGGCCACCCACATTTAAGGAATAAAAATCCTGGCAAGCTCTTCGGCAGCTGAGGCTGAGTATTGCAGCTCTGCCGGTGCTGCAGGCCTCGACGGCACAAAAGAGGGTGAATTACGTACTTCTTGCACAAATCATTTGGAGACTGCTGTTGGTCTGGGCTACTCGGGATTCATCTACGGGCAGGGAGAAAACGCGCGTGCGAACGGTGAGCAGATGAGAAAGACTGGTGTAACTAGATATTCCCTGTAGAGGTACACGGAAATGAAATTTTAAGAAAAAGGTAATCTTTTTAAACTTCTAGCAACCTTGTAGTGTGAAGTCTGTTGTTCCAGTGGAAATAAATATATTCTTAGTTCAGTGGCTGAATCAATTAAAAAAATCATTATTTTTTGATTGTTTGTTTTCGGATAAAGTGTTAGAATAAAATACTTGCAAAAACTATACGACACTGCATTTTTGATGGATTTAAAATTTACAGGCAACATTTTCCCCAATTCTGATGAGTCCCTGGGCTTTGCATAAATCAGCAAGCGCTGGCATTTTCTTAATGTCACTAATGACATTTTGGCCGAGAGGGTCGCAGATGACTATTCACTACAGAACTGCACATGGCATATCCTGAGGGGAATTACTGCAGCACTGTGCTTGTTTACATTGCTCTTTAAGCTGCTGTCCCCAGCAAGTGCAATTAGTCGTCCAGTGAAGCAAGATCTTTCATTACCATCTTTCCTCATGCTTAATCTAGGAATAATTCTCTGGGATATTTGTTTCATACGGAGTAAGCAGAATGTTTCCTCCTCAGCGTGGTGAACAAAGCTACTGCTGTCAACTCCTGAATGCCAAAAGACACAGTTTACCCAAAGGCACTGTTTTGGGGGGATACATAAGGGAAACTGGACATCGATCTGATGCAATGCTGTCAAGGTTATTATATGGTAAATTTAGTGAAGAACATATTATTCCAGGCTCTTACGGAATTATATCAGCCAAGGGGCCAGCTAAGAAAGTAAAAATCTCTTTCCAAGAGAAAGATCATCGCACTGAGTGTTTGATAATAACCGTGCTGATACTCAAGTGATGGTGATGGATTAAGCCAAGGTTAATGTAACCTAGGTGAACCCAACGCGACTGATGTATACAGGAGGGAGGTCCGGTAACGCCGCTAGCCACCGTGCTGCACCCCGGAGAGCGAGAGGATTGCGCTCACTGCAACAGTTGCCCGTCTTTATCACGGCATCCAGGCAGATTGAGTGCTTTCGGTGCCAGCATTCAGTGCCTCTGGGAGAGGGATAGAGTAAGGAGTGCTCCCGCAGAGTGGCTGAGCTTTTGACAAAACATCTAAATCACTTGTGAATCAGGCTTGCACTAGGACTCGTGGGTGTAGACCACTTCGCGAGCGTTGTGAATCTGCACCCAGGGTATCTGGCCTCCTACCAGCAGGGCCGCTCAGCCACGACTCTGAATGTGAGCCGTGTCTTAGGCCAGTGCTGTGCTTCCAAATATCCCACCTTAATTATTTTTTTTTTTTTTTTCCAATGAATGTATGTTGCCCTCTTCCTTAGAAACTCTGCTTAACTGAAGGGGTATGCTGATACAGAGTGCGTGGTGTCCTCTGGCACATCGTACCTCTGTGGTCTTGACATCTTGTCTCTCCTGTGTTAGGGCAAGGCTGTGTCAGTATCAATATCCCATCGGTCTCAGAATAGCATCATTAGAGAGCTCAACATAACAAAATGCACCGAGGGCCAAGGGATGTAGAAACCCAAACATTTGACATCTGAGAAAGGCTTCAGTGCATAGGATCTGTGCTTTCCATGCTCCAGAGAGGTTAATTATTTCTCAGGCAAAAATACTGTCTCTGAATGGCACGATGCCCAGGAGGTTAAAATACCCCCCCGTTGAAGTGGGTTACTGATTCCCTTTACCATTAAGAAACATTGCATTCGTTTTAGTTGGAGAATAAGGCAGCACAAGAGGTGGCAGAACAGCTCATTAGCCCAAGGATAGGCAAAGGAGGCGGAAGAGACAGTAAAAACCATGGAGGCGGGTCAGGGGAAGTGGGAAGGCAATTCTGACATTTCTTTCAAAGTCAAGGTGGTAAGCCGAGTCTTCATGTAGGAGTTGTTTGATTTATAAAAGATATATATAGCCTTGCTAATATTTTCAGGCAAGTGAGCAACAGAGGTGGGGTTTTTTATTTGATCAAAAATACAGTTCTTGAAGAACAAGTAAGCAAAGCATTGCTTCTATCAGGCTGACACCAATGCAAATAAAGGAAGCGTGTTTGCATTTAGATTCTGATGCAAACAGGTTGGACCAGTGGAGAGGTAAGTACAGCACTTGTTGCTCCTCCTTTAAAATGCTTTTCCCTTCTTGTCCAAACCTCGTCGACTGATTTTAACTACACTGTCAAATAACTCTACGGCAGTTGGAGTAGTTTGGAGGAAAGGCAAGTCATTCCCTTGCTTGAACTGCTCTTCTGTCATGGCAGAACCTATGGAGTAAGGAGGTGAAGCCTGGTGTATTACATTTGTCACAAACAGAGGACAATTTGCCTTGAATTGTGCCCCAAATGAAAGCAATGCAGTCTCTGGACTGCCGGTGCAATGTGGTACCTCGCTCTAATTAAGTAAAAAACCTAACCAATTCCAGAGCACGCACAGTTCAAACATCCTTCAGGAGCAGTAGCTGTAGTCCAGGCATGTACAGATAGAGATCAATTATTCCAGCCCAAAAGAGATTAAAGAAGTGACTCATGGCCCCACTCACCCCTTCCTTCCCCGAGACCTTATCTGTGCCTCTTTGCTAGAGGATGAGTGTCTCACCTCGAGTAGTGGAGGCGGACCCCAGCCTCAGCATACCCACGTCCTTCAAGCCCTCTCTGGATCTCCTTTGTCTCAGCTGGAGAGCTTCTTCGGAGAAAGGGCTGGGGATGGCACTAGTCTGACAGCAGGAAATTTGCAGAAGACCTTAGATGAGCAGTAATCCATCATCCTTCCAAATTGCTCGCGTCGTCTCAAGCAACAAGATTGGAACCTACACATAGGAAGCAAAAAAAAAAAGGTGCTCCAGCAGCAGCTGAGTCTCTGGCGGCGCTGAACGATGGCCGGGGAAGCAGAGGCCTCCCGCCGGGAGGAGGTTCGCCCAGGCTGCTCAAAACACTTGACAATTTCTACCAGGGCCCCAAATTTCTGAATCCCAACCAGAAGTGATGCCGATTTCAGGGCCAAGAGGTGTAGAGCATCTTCTGGAAGCAGCTTGAGGCAGAGGAGCCTTCCGGATAGAAACCAAATTTTGCTGCGATGACAGAGAGAGCTGGTGGTGGTGGTGAGGGGGCTTTATTCCCGTGTTGCAGTGGATGGTAGCCCAAATTCCTCAAGTGGATGTCACCGCTACTGAAGTGTTTGATAAAGGTTATGCTGTAAACACATCATGGCAAACAATGAGATTGGGGAGTACGACCGAACTCATTCAGCTTACAAGACGTTATTTACTGACACGTACTGGAGAGACATTTTGAAAGACCTGTTTCCCATGAAAAAAATGCAGATTTCTTAGCTGTTTTGCAGTGTTAAACATGTTTAACAGCATGTTAGATGGGAGAAAAATCTACACAATGGCTTCCACTATCTCACCAAAATATTTCAATAATGTTTGAAAACCATCAGAAGCAAAACAATATACATTTTTCTCTGACTTTACCGTTGTAACTTATTCCATTTTGTCTTGTATGTGGTATTAAAATATCAGCATATATTGCTTTTAATTAATTTATTATGTATTAAATTGTAATATAAAAATTCAAAGTTGAAAGCTCCAGGATTTCATTGTGGAATAGAAATTCTACTTGTCAACAAGGCGTCGCAGTCTGTGAAGAGAGTAGCTTGGGCTATTTCAGTTGCAAGGGCGCATTTCCAGGGCGGGGGGCGGTGAGTCCAGGTGTCCCAGGAGTTAGTTAACACATTAGCTTGAGACTAGGACTGAGGTTCATGCTGTGCAGACCTTCTGTGTGGCTACAGATGGATCACTTGCTCTTTCTGGGCCTCATTTCTCTAGATAGAAACATGTGAATAATAGCAACTCACGGATGTGAATTCATGATTTGTTTGAACTGGATCCTAATGACAATGATGGGATTTCTTCATGGTAATCCTTACACATTTAAGTTAAGTAAGCATAATAAAAATCAAACAAACTCTGACATGTATAAGCAGTTTGAGTCTTTTTTTTTACTGTTTTCAAGAAAACAACCGGCAATTCAGTATTAACCTGGTCATCCCAGACTTCCATGAAAGACAAGAGCTTCAGTGCTGCTTTCATGAAGAAGGAAAAAAAAAAAAATGTTTTTTGTCAAATACTTGTCAAATCATCTTAAAACACTACACAGAGGGGAAAAGCCATATACACAGCTATGGCCATTCATTTCTTGGCAGAATACCTGAAACGTTAAGGAAAATGGCTTTTGTAATAAAAGAACATGTTATGGGATGAGTCTTTCCCAAGCAATTATGTTCTTTCACAGTAATACTTTCATGAAAGATAATCTGATGAAATTCTTTTGGTCAGCAGACTATTTTTAATCAAATACCCTAAGGACAGCTCTAAAAGAGAAAACATTTACCTCACTTGGTTTTAATGGCTGTCAGTAAACCCAGAACGACGTGGTCAAAGAAGCTGGATTTGCGAATAAACCCTAACTCACCCCAGCCTGCACCTAGGGGTGGGCAGAGGGGTTATAAAGTGATTTAAGGAGGCTGACTCTGCTGCAGGGGTCTCTGGAGGCTGGGGAAGTACCTACACCTGCTTGCCCTGCCCCTTCGCTCCCCGACAGGCATCTGGTACAGAACATTTTCAGACGGACAGCTGGTCTGACGCAGTGCAGCCACTCTTCCGCTGCTCTGCTTAAACTCCCTAGGGTTTCACCTTTTGGGTACCCAGCAGTCTTTCGGGACCCAACCAGTGAGAGTTCAAGCATGGCCCCCAGAACTGTTTGTGTACAGCCCTGACAACCAGCAGTTGAACATATCGGGGAGACCAATCAGTGATTTAGGCTATCTGCTTCTTGAAAACAAGGGGGGCCTAGATTTTTTTATGTATATATATATATATTAGAATTACGTATATATATAATATATTTACATATATACACAGAATATATTTGAAGGTTATTCACACAGATTAAGTGCATACTTGAGTTAAGACACACAGAGCATACAAAGGACGTAGGAACAAGCGTCTGGAGATTTTAGTAAGATATTCTTGGGTGCAGCTAACAGAGGCAGCAGTTGGGGCAGCAGTCTCTGCACTCTGGGAGCTTCTGGACCTTCGGAAGACAAGGTCCAGGATCACTGGGCACACCCGGGGACCCTCCAAGATACTGGAGGGTGCCTGTTACTGCCAGGCAAGGATGAGGGAACGGGTGCCACCAGGGCGTGGGCACAAGGAAGCTCTAGAAGCTTCTAATGAGCACAGCCAGCTGCCCTTGATCCAGGGCACCTGGAGCCCTTCTTGCAGCTGCTCCCCGTTAGGAAGGGTGAAGCACCCTTTAGCCAGTACTTCAGGAGAAGGGGATATAAGAGTTATGGCCCGGAGGTGGCAGTTTGTGCAGCAGGGTGGAAGGGGAGGGAGGATGTCTTAGCTGATTTTTGTACTGTTGTGACAGTGTGAGTTAGGATGGTGGTGTGCCAGGGGATGGTCTGCCCGGTTGGAGCAGCTGTCCCTGCCAGGGCAGTGGTTTTTGATGCAGGCTAAGCTTTGGGTAGCAGGTGCAGCCCTCCGAGCCTTGGGCTATCAGGGAGTACCCGGGACTTCTCTCCAATGCCAGGAGAAACGTCCTGCGGGACGTGTGCCGTCTTGGAAGAACCGTGCTGCTGAGTGGAGGAGCTACAGGAGGAAGGTGAGCAGGCTGCACAGCACCAGAGAGGATGAAAAGGGAGATAAACGGGGTCTTCTCTGAGACACGGTAGCTTGAGGAACCTCAGACTCCAACTGCAGTGGAGAAATAGGCAGCGTCTGCCCCTAATATTAAGGGAAGTGTTACTGCTGGAGAATGGGAAGGATGGAAACCGGTGACTTCTAGCACCAAGAGAAAGGCTCCTGCCCCACCTAAGGGCTTACGACTGCAAAATACATTCACCACCCTCAGGGTTGAAGAGGAGCCAGGTAAGTCTTCAAACAAAGGATCTAGTCCACCTGACCCTAAATCATGCCAGATTTTCACCTGGAAAAAATGTTGAGTCCATGTAAACAGGTGACTCCCTGCTGCAGGGGACAGAGGCATCTATCTGTTGACCTGACCGATCATCTAAAAAGGTTTGTTTCCTGCTAGGGGTGAGAGCTGGGGATGCTGTGGAGGGACTGCTGAAGCTCGTCCAACCCTCTGACTGCTATGCCCTGCTGTTATTTTGCATGGACACAAACGATATTGTCAGGGAAACCTTGATGGTCTTAAAAGTGACTACAGGCCTCCAGGGGCAGCAGTCAAAGGTATGGGGGCCCAGGTTGTGTTTAATATCCTTCTGGTGATGGGAAAAGGTATGAGAAGGAGGAAGGCACTAATAACACAGGTGAATAATTTGCTATGGAGCTGATGTTGGCAACAGCATTTTGGGTTCTATAACTGTATTTGGGGTTCTATAACTGTGGGACCAGCTTGATAAACTTCTATGAGGAAAGGGCTGGCCTGGTAGATGAGGGTAGAGCAGTGGATATTTTCTACCTAGACCTCAGCTAAGCTTTCAGTGCTGTCTGCCAGAAGATTGTCATAGAGAAGTTGATGAAGTAAGGGCTGGAGGAGTAGACAGTGAGGTGGGTTGAAAAACTGGCTGAATGGCGGGGCCCAGGGAAGGGTGATCAGTGGCTCAGTCTGGCTGGAGGTTGGTGATTAGCAGTGGGGTCAATACTGGGTCCAATCCTGCTCAACGTCACTAATGATGGGGCAGAGTGCAGATGATGCCAAACTGGGAGGAGTGCTGATATACCGGAGGGTCACGACACAGCCAGAGGGACCTTGACAGGAGAAATGTCAATGTCAAAAACAGGAGAAATGACCTTGACGTGGAGAAATGGGCTGACGGGAACCTCAGTTCAACAGGGGGAAGGGCCAAAGTCTGGCACCTCGCTGGGGAGGAACGACCCCCCCCATGCACTAGTACGGGCTGGGGGCCACCCAGCTAGAAAGCAGCTTTGCAGAAATGGTCCCGGGGGACCCCGAGTTGATCATGAGCCAGCAATGAGCCTGTGCTGTGAATGGTATCCTGAGCGGCGTGAAGCAGAGCACTGCCAGCAGGCCGAGAGAGGTGATGATCCTTCCTCTCTCCCAGTGCAGGGCTACAAAGATGATGAAGGGACTGGAACATCTCTTCCAAAAGTCGAAAGGCTGAGCGAGCTGAGAGTCCTCAGCCTGGAGAGGAGAAGCTCAGGGATGATTTTATCAAAATGCATATATATAAATATCTGAAGGGGTGATGCCGAGAAGTTGAAGCTGGGCTCTTTTCGGTGGTGCCTGGTGAGAGGACGAGAGGCAATGAGCACAAACTGAAAGAGGGGAGGTTCCCTCTGAACATCAGGAGACACTTTTTTTTACTGTGCGGGGGACTGAGCACTGGCACAGGTTGCCCAGAGAGGTTGTGACACTTCCATCGTGTGAGATATTCAAAAGCTGCCCGGACGTGGTCCTGGGCAGCCTGCTCTAGATGACCCTGTCTTGACCCAGTGCTTGGAACGCATTATCTGCAGAGATCCCTTCCAACCTCGACTCTGCTGTGATTCTCCCTGTTACCGCCCCGGGGCTTTCTGATGGCAAGGCTAGAAATGGTATTTCGCATCTTGATTTCACTTCAGATTTTTAACTGCATCAGAAAAGTAAATTTGCAGACTGCTACCTTGAGACAGTACTCTAATGAGAATATGCTCGTTACGGATGGAGCTGTCTGAGCCCATTAGTTGCACACAGAAGAGTGGGTCTGAAAAAGTCCTTAGAGCATTAACAAAAACCTTTGCCTGATTACGACCCGAGCTGGGACAAACACAGAGGAGTAGCCTAACGTGTAATGTGCCAAAGATAGCCACGTTGCATCAAGTGGGCAGCCGCTCAGCAGCCCTCGTGGTTTGGCCTTTGTTAGAGGAGTGATGGGCTCCATCTTATGGTGTTATACATGCTATTTTAATTAATTCAGCATCTGGAAAGGAGGTTTACATTATGTGTGGCTAGCGCTGCATGCTGGCTGCGCACAGACTCACCCTAAAAACAGAGGTGGCCGTGTTGTCAGTGGTACAGTGAGTGGTGTTTAATTTGTGGGCTCAACATCGGCAGATGGAGCCAAGTCAGGAAAATACGCTTCACCCAGAAGCAAAATGACGAATTTTATCCGTTTTACATTTAAGGCCATAACATTATGCTCCAAAAATTTTCTAAAGGGGAAATAAACAGTACCTGGGTCTTATCTTCCAATGAGGATTTCTTCTGTTTACAACTATTGATGAAATAATCCCCCCGGTAAATAAAAGATGTATTCAGTTTCTCTGAGGAAAATGAAGCAACCAACAGCATAATGGGTTCCCCCAGGTCACACAATATATTTATCTTCTGTTTAGAAATACAGATAAGACCTTTCCAGTAGCTACAAGCCCCCCTTTCCTGAAAGCTCCTTGAGAAAATAACATCCAGATTAGGAACCAAGAAATGCTTTACGCTAACAAAGCAAAGTCTGCAGCGCAGCAATAGACAGGTTTGAGTGTTGCTATTCAGTGAATCTCCGTTTACCCTGATCTTTGATGTACTAAAACAATTGATATGGAGTTTTTGATTAAAGTCAGTATTTCAGCAGGTACTTACTAATCAAATCCATCTGTTTTTTACTAAGCTTGAACAAAGGTTCTGATGATATGCAGTTAACATGCTTTTAGTTAAAAGCAACATATGAGCCTGAATGCAGGATAATATTGAAAGTGTAACTAAATGTATAGGTCCATCTAAAAGAAATCTTGTAATAGATTATTTTTATTATTTGAGTATGATGTTTCTTTACTGGTAACAGATCTCGGGTGCATTATGAAAAACTGTGAGTTACTACAACCCGACATAGGCTGAAGATGGTCACAGTCAGCAGGCTGACAGTCGAATTGGACTGTTTGGCTGAACTGCTGCAGTACTGCCATATTGCTAATGACCAATTTCCACAGCAGTGAGTTTT